TGTTAGCAACCATGAGGGTGCTGGGATTCGAAAAATTAGACACAATACAATTGATTTTTTTCTCCAATCTCCCAAAAGTAACCTGTTTAAGGGAAGTGTCATGTTTCCAAGTGAATCATAGAATTTCTCATGCTTAGATATCAATCCTAAACTTTCCAGACAAGGTGTCATTTCCCAACAAGGAGGAAAGACCAATTAAGCCCCCAGGGTGCCAACAGTTCCTGGAAGACTGCCTCCTCTAGGCTCTGCTGTGATTGGTGGAACAGTCTGGGCTTCCTAGTAGGCCAGAAGAACCACAGAGCTCAAAAGCCCGGAGACCACTGGCAGGGAGAAGCACGTAGCATCCATCAGAACCTGACTAGGGCAGTCTGGGCCCATCACCCTTAGCTTTTAACTAAGGAACTGATTCTCTCCTTCAAAAACCCCAAAGGTTACCTGAGTTCCACTAAGAAAATACACACTGACCAAAGGTTAAAACCAGAAATGAAGTCTCTAAAAAACGGTTAGGATAGTGGTGGAGAAGGGAGAATGAATCCAATGAAGGTAAGCGTTAAAAAGAATCCCCTGCCCCAATTTCTGGCCCAGAAGTTTCAAAAAGATGAGCTTGCAAACAGCCTGCCTCCTCAGTTCTTTTCTCTTTAATTCCTGGCACTACCTTCTCTAGGCTATTTTTAGCACAGGAGAATGGGGCACAGACTGAGAGCCTCGGGGCAGCCAGGCCTCACCTTGCCTGCCCTGCTGGGACACTGGTTATCTTTAATGTCTGAGGGACACAAGACCACCCTCCTCAGAGTGGTGAAAGGCAGCACAATGGCGAATTCTACCCAGCAGGTCTGACAGGCCCACTTCTCTTCCTGAAGTCCTGGGGCTATTTTTTGTTGAAAAGGCAGTGCCATCTGGAACATTTAGAGAGCAAAGAAATAGATTTTGCACATTTGAGTTAAGCAAACAGAAAGCAAGACTGTTTATCAGGTCCTGCTTCACAGGGTACAAACTAGGCTTTTCTAACCAGCAAGTTTAGCATGAGCTTATGCCTTTTCTTTGGAATAAAGCGACTCTGGTCTTCACGATTCCCTTCAGTCATCTAGTCCATATTTACAAACAAAGATGAAAATGTTTCTCAGCATTTTACTTTTATGGTCTTTCCCCTCTGTAATTACCCCTAAGAGATACACGTGAAACTTTAAAGTCAGAAGATGCTGTTATGTTGAGCTGGTTTTATTAAAATACAGAAAGGAATTATAGCTTTGGAAACAAAATGAAGTATGTAGTGAATCTAATAAAGCAATGTACTCTGTGCACTGCCTTAACCTCCCTGGGCTTCAGCATTATAAAAGTACATTGCAGACAGGAGAGATAAAGATAAAATGCTCCACTTGAGGAAAAGAAAATCAAAGCCCCAGAGTTTCCAGGTCAGTGACTGACCTGTGCAGGCACATGGCCCACTCAGGGAATGGAGATCTGAGGGACTGGAGAACTGTTTAAGTCAAAGCACAATGTGAATACAACCCAGGCACATTCTAAATTCCCATCCAATGTTACTACAGATTACAGCAGCCCCCTTCATCAAGCCACTGCACTCCATTAGCCTAAGTAGGTCTATTTATTTAAGAGTCCATTAGCTGATCTAGAATTCTAGAATTCTCTTTTAGCTGATGGAACCATATGGCTTTCTTTACTTTTGTTCAAAATACAACACTAAAACCTTGATTAGCCTAAAAAAACAAAAATAAAAAGCTAGACCCTACATTTAAGAGTATTTCAATTTCCCACCCTTATTCTGTAGTTAGGTCCCCACCAGGAGAGCTCAGGTGGCCAGTGTGTGTTATGAGACAGCGAGGCAAGCAGGTGACAATACTCACAAGATGACTGCTGGGAAGTTCGGAACAGGGATCCAGCAGAGCCTGTTTCCCCTCCCAGTTTTTTTGTTTTGTTTGGTTTTTTTTTTTGAGACAGGGTCTCCCCGAAGCTGTCCTGGATTCACCATGGAGACCAGGCTGCCTCTGCCTCCCGTGCTGGGATTAGAGTGCTGGGATTAAAGGCATGCACCACCACGCCCGGCTCCCCTCCCAGTTTTTATTAATTAAGCTTACAAGGGAAGGAATACTTGTCATGAGATGAGCAAATAAAAAGAAAATTATCAGAAAGGTGCACTGAAGGAGAACTAGTTTGCTGCTGTCCAACAGAGGCTTCAATGACAGAACATATGCATCTGCTGCCCAGGCTACTAGCTGTCTAAGCACTTAGGACCAAGTGAGTGAGGAACTGAATTTTTCATCAGATTTAGCTTCAATTTACTACAGGTGGTGCCTAGATACAGCACCAAAAAGTACACAGCTCGAGAATACTGCCTGTTCAAGCTGACCGACCACAAAGTCTCCTTCCTAGGAAAAAGGCCCAGAAACCCTGAATACTGCTTTCCTTTCCCTGAAGAATTCAGGGAGGAGAAAAAAAAAAAAAAAAAAAAAGCTATGATTCCTTAGCTGATTTAGCAATTAAAAGGCACTTTAGAATCATGTCCTAGTTCATCTCAGTATAGACCTCCTAACAAGCAGTGAAACAATTATTTTGAATTTTTTAATTATACAATTTCTTCCTAAATTGAAGTACAAACCTTTTATCAAATACAACAAAAGACTGGAAAATGGTCTGAATTCTTGTTTGTTATTTTTGTCCTTGCTATTCTCAAAAGTCACAGCTGAGACCTTTGATGCTATTATACTTTGAGACCTTAGAGGTAAAAAAAAAAACCTAACCAATAAACAATTCCCAAGTGCTCAAGCTGGAAAAAAAAAAGGGGGTTATTCCAACAGCAGTGGTGCCGCTGGAGAGAGGGAGAGTGAGCTGCTTTTTGCAACACCAAGCTTGGGATGCTGAGAAAGCTCTGCCCAGGCTTAGGGGCTAGATACTGATCTCCTCTGTACTCCTGAGGTCGCCAGCACTGGCATCCATAATACATAATGGCTGTAAGCGAATGCTTTTGGCCTTATGCACACTATAGCTTTAAGTGGCAGCACATTCTAAAAGCATGTCATCTAGAAACACAGGATCCCTGTACATTACACAGCAAGGCGACAGAAGAAACAAACTACACTGAGTAAGAGCTACTGTTTCCGCAGTAGCTTCTACAGATGTTCAGTGCCCTAGAATCTATTTAAACCTTATAAGACAGCGGTTTTGAAAAAGAAGTGTTTTCAAATCCTAAACAACAGAAGATAATCCATGTTTTAGGGGATTTAAAAAAAAATTTTTTTTAAGCCTGCTGGTTGACTACACTGAGATTACTGTCCATTCAAACAAGCCTGAGGAACACCTTTTCTAATACACAATCTCCTCAGTAGGGCATCCTACCAAGGCCTGAAACAGTAAAAGCAGTGAATGAAGAAACACAGCAGTGGAGACAGACATCTGCACACCCCTACCAGGTGTCTGCACCAGGTCAGCCCTCTTTCTGCTACTGCCTAGCCTACAATTCACAGAAATGTGTAAACAGGCAGCCAGCAGGTGTACTCAACAATGTAATACAAAGGAATTTAAATATAAGGTCAAAGCGACAGTTTTACCAGCACCATTCAAAAAGTCAAGGATTCATAACAATTTAAGCAAAAATAAAGGCATAAAGAATGAAGATGTGGGTTCAGTATAGCTCAGCAACAATATTATTGTTCACAAAGCTAATTCAACCTCTGATTTTATCGATCAACTGTAAATTGCCAAGAAAGGTACAATTTTCTATTGAAATTAGTACCACAGATGTTCAAGGCATTGAATTTGGAAGCAGCAAGAACAGGCTCAAGACCTTTGAACTCTTCCACCCCTCCCCCAGGTCAGAGTCACAGGTCTGGTCACACTTGGAAGGGGAAGGGTGAGCAGAGAGGAAGGGGGTGGAGACTTTTGTCTCCAGATGTGGGAAGGCCAGACTCCCGATGTGTTGAGGAACAGATTTATTTTGTGTGCTTCCAGGGAGCCAAAAGACGATTAATCAAGAGGAAAAAACTTCAGTTGAATATAAGAAAGTCCATGTCAAAAGCAGGTTACCTGATCAGAAATGGCCTATCCCATCAGGCAACAGGTCAACCACCCTGTGGAAGGCTGGTTACCCACAGAGCTTTCCGACAGACCACGATGTTTGCTACCTTAGAGGACAGCCCGCTCCCACCCTCCCCAACACTCGACCTCAGCAGGCAAGGCCACATTCCTGACAGCAACACCTCCCCTCTCTCAGTCAATGGGGCCATTATATCAGAAAGTGTGCTAGGGAGTACTTCAGGACAGGCTAGCATGACTGCTGGAGTTTACAAAAAAAAATAATTTCCAAAGTCAGCGGGTTAACAAACGCCAGTGAATTCACTGCGCTGACGTCCCAACTAGTTTCCCTACATCACTTTTTGAAAAAACAGGCCAAGTGTCAGTTGGTTAATAAACTCCAAACCCAAAGAAATGAACCCAGAGTTCCTGAAGGCAGAGCCAGACTTTACCTCATTTTACCAGAAGCCTACAGAGGAAGTTCTTAGAGTGCTCCAGCTTTAAGGAGTGAGCCTATTTCCCCTAGCCAAAGCAGGGAGAGATAAACCCCCAAGCTGACTTACCTTTATTCCCAGGCATCCTTTCCTCCTATTGTTCCTAGCTCATCTCTGCCAGCACAGCAGGGTTCAAAGAGATGCTTGACATGTTTGGGTCCCCTGCTAATTCTACCCTAGTCACAAGATTACAGATGAGAGCAGCTCATTTCCCAACTATTCAAATTCTGAAATGACAGCAATTGTCAGAAAAACTACTCTGAGAAGCTTCTCTGAAGAGAAGCTGACTAGGAGGAAGCAGACAGTCCACCTGAAGGCTTTCTAAGGAAAGAGCCTAATGGTCCCTATCCCCAAGGGTCTGTCCTCCAGACAGGAGAATAAACCGGAGCCTGAAACCAGAGAGTAGGATGCCTACCAAAGTCATGGCTTTCAGCCTCAACAGTACACCCCACACCACCTGCTCTACAGGTCAGGCTTTACCTTTCTGAACATGGATGATGTCTGGGAAGTTGGCCAGGTGCCCCTGATACAGTGCTAACAGGTCCATGACTGGGTCCAGGTCCTGCCTGGGCTGCTCCGCGAAGAGTTCTCCGATGGCGTCATAGGCGTCTCCGGTGAAGGCGATGGCCTGGTTCAGGCCCACCGAGAAGGCCTGCTGGTCCAGTTCAAAGGCCTGGCTGAGGCCGCGGAAGGACTGGCCCACCTTCTGATACTCTTTCTTGAAGCCAGTCACCTGCTTGCGTGCAAACTCATTGGCCGTGTGATTGAGCTGCAGCGCACTGTCGTCCATCTTCTTGGTGAAGCACTTGAAGCCATCGATCTTGCTCTCCACCTCCTGCAGGTCCAGGGCGGCGGCCGGGGGTGTGCTCAAAGTGAGAAAGAAGTTGGCACCCACCATCTCATCCTTCTCCGCCTTCCGTTTACCCTGTTTCCAGGCCTTCTCGTCCGTGCTGCTGGGGCAGGTCAGAAAGTGCTGGAAGACGTCGCACTGAGCCAGCACCGGGTGGCTGGCCATGTGGTTCATCCACCAGATCAGGCCCTTCCTGCGCTTGGAGATGAAGTCCTCCTCGAAACGGCCAGTGGCCTGCTTCTCAGGCAGGTGGGGCACCGAGATCACCGGGAACTTCTCAGCCAGGCGAGCATACAGCCAGTCGAAGTGCTTGTAGCGCCTGTGCACCGGTACCTGCGTGTGTGTGGGCACCAGCTTGTAAGAGATGTAGCTCTTCATACCCTTGAACTTGGTCTGCTTGGTGGGGTCGTCGATGGTGCACTGGAAGGGGTAGGGGTTCTCCTGCCACTCGGGGCCGTAGGGCCCCAGCACCACACACAGCTTGTCCCCGTCCTTCACGAAGCCCGACGCCTCGCCCAGCACGAAGGCCTCCCCGCCCGACTTGACGAAGGTGGAGAAGCGGTTGAGGTTGCGGCTCACGGTGGCCGAGCTCTTGGCCCCCGACGGGTGATGCTGCGGGGGCGCGGAGCCGCCCCGCGAGCCCAGCGACAGGTCAGAGCGCGTGGACAGGCGGTAGCGGCCGGCCGCGCCGCCCGCCGACGACGAGCCGTCGAGGTCCGGGTAGGCGCCGCTGCCCAGAGCGCCCGGCTCGTCCGCGACAGTGGAGCTGTCGTCCCACTCGTCGTCCCAGTCGTCGTCGCTGCCCTGGCTGGCCTGGTAGCCGCCGTAGAGCTGCTGCGCCGCCGGCTGCAGGGCACCCCCGCCGTACGGAAAGCCGGGCTGCTGGAAGGTGTTAGGCGGCGCCTGCTGAGGCTGCAGCAGTGGCTGAAAGGCGTCTGGAGGCGGCTTGAAGGATGCGGGCGGTGCAGCAGGCAAGGGCTCGAAGCCACCGGGAGGTACGTTGGCGTAGCGCGCCGGGGCCCCGGGACCCAGGTCGCCCGCCGGACCCGGCTCCGGGGCGCGGATCACCTGCACGTACGAGGCCGGAAAGAGGCCTCGGTCACCGCGGCTGTTGACGCCCTCGAGCCAGCCTTCGATGTCCTGCTCGCTGCACAGACTCAGCACCTCGTGCTCCCGCAGCGAGATCTCGCCCGGGTTCTCCGACCTGAAGTCGTACAGCGCCCGGGCGCGCAGCGCCATCGTCCCGGCGGGCGGTACCGAGTCGGGCACCTCGAGCCCGGGCCAGCCCGAGGGCCCCGCGGTTCCTCCCCGCGCCCCGGCGCGCGGACGAAAGCCTGGAAGGCAGCGTGCAGCCCGCCTGCCGGCTCCGATCGTGCCCGACTGACTGCTCCGCTCCCCTTGCAACCAGGACTGCGGCGCTGGGCCGCCGCCGGTAGGGGGCGGGGCCCGGGCCTCCCACGTCCCCAGCTGCTCTAATCCACCGCCGAGAGGCCCGGGCCAGGCGAGACCAAGCGATGGCCGAGCTGCGGCGCCCGCCCCGACTTCTGCGGCCGCCGCTGCTCCCTAGTGGCGATGCTTAGAAGTGGCGCGCCTGGACGATAGAGGGGTGAGTGGGGTGACTTTTCTTTTTCGATGACTTACCTGAAATTTTTAGATTTTTAAGTTTAAAAACGTTTCCTGGAAAGTAAACCAATATTTGTACACATAATAGCCGTTCCCACTCTGAGTGCTCAGTGAATGCTCCTAAAATAACTTAACCCAGGCATGTAATAAAGGCTTTTGCAATGAAAAATAACGTTTGAGCTGGCAGGAATGATACCTTGGACAGAGGTATGATCACTGATGCAGCTGCTCCCTTCCCTTCTGTACTCCCTGGAACTTGTTGGCAAGGAAAGGTGGAGACTAACAGAGAGATTAACAGAGCAAAGAGTTCAGGAAGATGCGCATGTGACAAAATAAGAGGCAAAGGGTGGTGTAGGAAGAGAGGAACTGGAAAATTTCCAGTAAGTGCACAGAGAGCTTGCGCTTGACATGTGTCCTTCTGTGCAGCAAATGAGACAAAGATCAGACTTCAGAACCAGTCTGCCAATCTGTGTTCTAACACTAACTGTTTGACCTTGAGCAAATCGCTTAGATCGTACCTAGCTCCTGGGGTTGTGTGGATTTAGTGTTAACGAAATCTCTCTTACAGATGAGGAAAACACTGCACATGGTAACTACAGTTCAACTGTTTGCTGTTGCTGTTACTGTTATTTTAGAAAGTAAAACCCTTGGCCTCTTTCTCAAAGAGAATTGGGGTCCTTAAATTGCAAAGGCAGATACTGTACATGATAGAGAGGGTCTGTATGTTTACACCTTTGCTCTTCCTTTTTGGTCACTGACACTGCTCTCCAAGTCATCTCTCTCTCAACAAACTTATTTTAAGTCGATAAAAAAGTTGCCTCCTGAAATATTAATCAACTCTCATCTCCTACAGTTGCCTTGTTTCGTATCTTCTTTTCTTTCAGTATATAATTTGCCCAAGCCTTTTCCCCCTCATAATCCCATTTTATTAAGTCCAGCATAATTATTCCTTTGAAGATACCTCTAATTGGAATTTAGCATTCATCTCTCATTAATTTCAGCCTGTCCTCTGACCCTGTCTATGAAAATCTGGGAATCAGGCCAGAAAATATACCATTATCCTAAGAGCTGTGGTATTCTAAGCATCCCGTACAAAGTCACCAACCTGGTACACCAGAATCAGTCCCCTAGTGTGTATCCTAATGCAAAGTCTTAACTCAAGCCCATGAGCTTCTTCAGCAGAAGACCCAGTCTAACTATTCTCACAGTGAGCAATAGGGAATATTGCCATACTGTGTCACCCCTTGACATGCTAAAAAAAAAAAAAAAAACCATAAAACTAACACCAGATACCAAAAATACAGCTTATCTCCTGTAGTAACTCACAGGACATTAACCGAAGACATTTTAGATAAACACGATAGCTTCACTGTAATATTGATTTGATAGTAAACTGTGAATTCAAGAGTTAATTTCAGTAGTTTCAGGTATATTTCAGGTATAATAATTCCAGGAATTTATGTGATGATATTAAGAGATGATTTGAGCAACTGGGGAAGCAACAGCTAAGGAACTCCGGAGTGTCTGAGGCTATTGATAGCACAGGTACAGGTGCATCTGTGAGAGGTCAGCTTGTGAGAGTCGGCTTGAGGACTCTGTGTTTGCCAGGCATCAGGCTTTGAGAAAGAGGGGAACATGTTTGGTCCTATGGTCAGAATGGCAGGAAAAGCCCCAACTCTAGAGGGTCTTGAATATGTAGAAAATGTGCTCAGATATTAGCAATTTACAATTATTCTCCCCCGGAAAGTAAATGTAGCAATGTATTTATTAAAGATTTGCCTGGAACACAGCTTCTTTTGTAGGTTAAATCCCCATATGGGGGCCACATGGTGGAATGTAAAGAAAGGGTCATGAAAATTTTGGCAACAGTAAAAAGTTTCTGAACAGGCAATAGCTGAAAATTAATTCAGAATCAAATGCATAATGAATAGGAGGCATTTCTGGCAGCGCTCACCCACGTTGCATCACCCAACCTTACTGCAACCTTGGTTCTGAACACACCGCAAAGCACACTTCACAGTACGCATGCCAGCAGACTTACAGTGCCAACAAATGCCGCCCAAAGTGCCTCAGCTCTGATTCAAGACTATTGTGTGTTATGATCTGAAGAATTTTACTGTACAGATATTTTCTACTCGTATAGAAACAATGATTTCATTATGGGAAGCAAAGATAGTGTTTTCCTGCTGTCATCATCAGCATATAAATATCAAATCATCTTTAGATTGTGTTAGAATGTTTTGTTTTTAAAGTTTCTCTTTGAGTTGCTGGCTTAAGTTACAAAAATCATTAAATAAATTTTGACTTGGGATTAGAATAGAATTTTCAGCAATTTTTGAAATAACCTTAAATATACTTCTGGCATTTTCATAGAATGTGTTTATGTGAAATGGCCTTGATAATTGTAAAATCACAATATCTGGGACTGGAGAGATAGCTCAGCAGTTAAGAGCACTGACTGCTCTTGCAGAGGACCCAAGTTCAGTTCCTAGCACCCATATGGGAGCTAACAACTGTCTATAACTCCAATTCCAGGTGATCTGACCTCTGAGGGCATTCCATGTGCTGTTGCACTTACATCCAGGCAAAACACTGATACACATAAAATAAAAATAAATTTTAAAATAATAAAACATCAATCAACTCTAAAAAATGCTGAAGATGCTACATCCTTTAGTATTAAATATTCATTCAAGATGTAATTCTTTGTGTAAAAATAAACACATCCATCTCATTCATATGCAAATTTTGTTGTCTTTAATAAATGATAAAATTATATGCATACCAAATAATTGTTTGAAAATAAATTTTTATCAGTAAATGTTTGACTTTTAAGCTATTTTATATAGCTATATACCTAAAGTGGTATTATTGGGGGAGAGGAGTCATGAATGAAGAGTTTGAGAAAACCTTACTCTGGAAAATATAACACATTCATAATTTAGTTTATACAGTCATTATAACTACCAACAATTTATATTTCATTGTGGTTTACATGTGTTTTAAATATTAAGAGGAACACTAAAACAGTCCTGAACAACTGCACTTTCTCACTTTTTCCCTTGGCTGGAGATGCCCCAGGTTACTGACCCTGGGCTGCCTCTTCCATAGAGGGAAGCCACAGTGGTTTCTTTGCTCTTCTTGGAACACACCAAGCACATTTCTGCCTGAGGTTTTTGCTTTTGCTGTTTTCTCCCTTGAAACCCTTCTCCCTACAGATCCACCACGTTGTTCCTTGGCCTCATTCAGGATCAGCCTGACTCCTCCAAATCCCCTTTCTTCAGTTGCTTTGGAGAACCTAGATGTGAAATGGAGAGAGCCTGGGTGCCTGAGTATCTGAGTCATCATCCCAACCCCACTTTATGAGAGAAAGCCTTTGCTGGGCAAAACCACTGAAATAGCAGGGTTTGTCTGTTGGGACGGCTGGCATTAATTATCCTGATGAATATAGTCTCTATCCCTCCATCCCACTATCCCTAGCCCCATCTCATTTCTCTTCACAGCACTTACTACCTAACATAAACATTAAATATATTAATTATCTCTCCCCATTAGAATTAAACTTCTTCAGGGCAGTGATTTTATTTTTGACACCTAAGATACAACAATGGATAAAACAGATGTGGCAGGCAACCAGTAAGCATTTGTTCAATAAATGAATGAGAGAATGCCCACTTATTTCCTCCCCAGATGCTGTCAGCTCTGAGAAGTGGCTCTTCCTGTGTCTGGGTCTAGTGACTTGGGTCCCTCTGCTGCCAGCAAGAACTAAATGTTTCTAAGGGCAACTGAATAATACTGTTCTTTAAATCAACAACCTTAAACACTAAGTCAACCACCTGGAATACCACAGCAAAATTTCTGAGATTACTGAAAATGTCACCATTGCTGAATGGGTCATTATTTTTAAAATAACACTATATATAGTTACTCAAAACAATTCATATAATATATCAAGCATTACACAAATGATTTTATGAACACTTACCCTTTGTTGTATTACTTACTCCCTGCCGTTTTCCACAGCAGTGCCTCCAAGCAGAGCATGGACACTGTTTTCTCCATTGTCACAGATCAGGACACCCAACCACAGAGTGGCTGGCTGATGCACGTGGTTGGTGAGTGGTGCAGGAGCTACTCAGCTGTCTTGAGAACTTCCATCTCCTGAGTCATAGGTCTGCACTTTGCTGGTTCCTCAAAATGACTTGTTATTGAACAGCCCTGGCTGCTTACTAGAAATTGTGTGTCTGAAATCTAATAACAGTCCTAGATTCTAGAGCAAGGCTATGCAGAAGGAAGGCCACTGACTGTCCCTGCATCTACCTGGTGACACCTGGAGTTTGAACTCTACCAGGACAATTTTTTGTCATCTCTCTTCACTACTATACATGCCCAGAGTACTAAACTAAATTCATCAGCTGGATGAGTGAACAGACAGAATTTCCCAAAACTTAGTCCTCAAATATGGGAATAAAAACCCCACTTCATTGGGTCGTATCAGCACTTAATGGAATAATAACTTTATGGGTGTTTTACATTGCTCAACTGAACAATTTTAACATAATTTAAAATAGTTCAGTTTTTAATTAAAATTCATTTCCCAGATTGTGCGGTTGTTCCCTAAGGTTAATCCTGGAGGTGTTGGCCTGGGTGAATTTCCTTTCATGTTTGGAATCTGTGATGCTCATTTCCTCTGCAGTGGTATTTACAGTTGAGAATGTACAATTCCCTGAAAAATTATTCACAACTGTGGAAGAAATTCTTCATTTTT